TCATAATTTACGTTTTATTTGCTGTAAAAAACAAGAACAAAAAATATCCATAAATAACTGAATATTATCATTACAGATGCGAGACATCTTTTAGTGTTCTTGATTCATAGCGGTGCATGTGTACACTTTCTGAAAGCTATGTCCGAGACAGAACTTTCCAGTCGAGCTGTTAAAACTAAAAACTTGCATGCCCAGTGGTTTGTAAACATTTTTCCATTGTCTGCTCCAATCAAAATTTTAAATGCAATTTCACTAAATGATATTATCTTGTGGTTGAAGTTAATGATACACAGATCGTGAAACAAAGAACGCAACAATTTATAATGGGAAATTTAAATTATTCGGTCTGAGTGTCAACAGAATTTTGAGTTTTCCTGTGATCGATTGAATATTTACGTGCCCACAAGAAAAGTTGACAACGATAACGACAGTGATGACGATGTGGACGGCGATGGCGACGACCATTTTGCCACAACTATGACTTTCTCTTCACTTCATTATAGCCAGCGAAAAATGATATTTTATGCAGGATTGTTAACTTTCTGACAATTTTAATGTTACCGTACCAGCTGAGGTGCATCTGGTACACCATTTTGAGAAATTACCAAACACTGTATATACTAGTAATTTCACATGCTTATTCAGTTACAATTCAGCAAGGATGAATTAAATTGTAATTATTAGTGAATAAATCCATTCACGTTTCAATCATTTCACTGAAAACGTCAGAGCATCTTACGATGGACAGGCCAGAAATCGGGCCAACATTATTGAGAGCACATTTCAACATACATGTTTATAAGACTACATTTTATCACATGTGAAAAAAATGCCAGAACCACAAATACAATTTAACAACTTAGGATTTATTAATTAACTAACTTTCGTAATTTGCTCACCGTGTATCAAAGTTATGTTTATGTTCGGATACAGTTAAACAATTACGCAGATGTTTTGTGAATACAATAATCCTATTCTCATACCAGTATTGCAGCAGAAAAGTAGGAGGGAGGGAGGGAGGGAGGGAGGGAGGGAGGGAGGGAGGGGCAAATGGAATTGGTGACAGACTAGGTAGAATAAAATCAACACTTACAGGATTCGTACCAACAGATGCACATCTCTGAGCTAAACCATCGAATGTCGTAGAAACCACCTGGTGCTCAGCTGGGATTGGTGCCTTTTCTTTTGGAGGCTCAGGTTCCTTTTTAGGCTGTGAATACCGCAATAAATGTCAGTTTCATCAACATAAAATATATGCAGCTAATTAGTATATACAGTCAAACCTGTCTATAAAGGACAGTCAGTGGACTGAGCCAAACTGTCCTTTATAGACAGGTGGTCTTTATATGGAGGTGGCCTAATTTATTCATTTAATCATGAATATTAATTAGGACCAGAATTTTAAGGGAGATCATAAGCAATACATAAAAACAAACCTACAATGAATATGTCTTTTTTAATAAAAGTCACTCATTTTCATCTGGATAATTACAGGTTTACTTTTTACTACAAAT